CACCCCACTCCTTTGCTTATCTCAGAGAAGGGGACATGTTTCTCCCTAGTTCTCCTGGAAAAGATGGCGACCGTTTTGTCCGAGCTGGCGAGCCAGCACGGGTGATCCGGGATCACGTACGGCTCGGCCACCACTCCCAGCGCACAATCATGCTCCGCCAGGCCCTGCATAAACAGGTCCTGCGCCCTGCGGGCATGATTGAGATTCACCTGTATGGCCTTTAACATCGCGAAGGCCCTGGTGTTGCGGCATCCTCCTTGCCGTTCCCCCTTCCGCTGTTGGTGCCAGCGCTGTCCTCCTGTTGCGTCCATACGCTTTGCTCGGCCTCTCCCATCATCATTCCTGCCGGCGTCAGCGAGTGGTCACGAACCGAGGACTCCGACCTCTCCTCATCGACCTCCATACCTAGGTCAGCGAGATTCGCGTCCCCAGTGTCGTTGGGCTTCTGTGATCCCATTGTTCCTTTGGATTTTTGGACATCCCCCATCTTCTTTTGAGCGAGATTCTCAGCCCTTCTCTCCTTCTTCGCCGCTTTCTTCGAAGGTGGCGGGCAGGCCGTTCCTCCCGCTTTGTGTCCCGCTGGTAGGCCCTTGGCCTTGCAAACAGCGCAGCTGGGTTCAGCGGTGCATCCCGTGGCTCGGTGACCCTCCTCGCCGCAGCGATAGCAGGTGTTACTCCTGTCCGTCTTGCTCCTGCAATTTTGTCTCACGTGCCCTTGCTCTAGGCACCTAAAACAAACGAGTGGGCGGGCTTTGAGCATCTCCACCCTAGTGGATACCAACCCCACTCTTATCCTCCTCGCCTCTGTCGCCTTGTTGGCCGCTGTCAGGGGGCACTGAATCCAAACGGTACCAAGGCCGTTTGGCGCCCTCCTGATCTGGCCGACCCTGACGTCCTCCGCCTGGCATCCCCCCGCTTGTGCGACAGCATCCTGGATTTCAGGGAGTGTTATCGACTCGTCCAGGTCTTTCATGCGGAGTTCCGCTAGTTTTACCGGACGAGTGATTTTCACTCCTTCCTTCTCGCCAAGCACAGTCTTTAGCTGACTGGCTAGGGCGTCAGCCTTCTCCTGCGAGTTAGCCCCGGGGATTTCGAGGAGTAGAGCTCCTGTGAGGGTTTTCCTCGCCCTTATTTCCTCAATCCCGAGGTCCTCGATCTTAATCTGAGACCTTACCTCCCTCATTCCTTCCCCGTAGCAGCCCGTTGGGAAGGTGAGGGATACCGCCGCGGTTTTGAAGGGCCTCCTCTTCTTTACCGAGTTCCCCTTTCCAGCACCTTTCGTGTTTGGTCCACCCGATCCTTTGGTCGGTTGTGTATCTCCTCCTTGTCGCGGAGGCGTAGCCTTGTTGCCACTCTTCTTTTGCCTGCCTCTTTTGACAACCTCCGTCCACAGCGTTTGTTGTTCCGCCTCGGTCTTTCCCGTTTTAGCCTCAGCTTGCCTCGGCTTTCCTGGGTCAGGGTCAGGCCTCGGCTTTCCTGGGTCAGGGTCAGGTTTGGTGTCAGGGGTCAGATTGACCTTAGACTTGGCCTCAGGCTGACGTGTCTCTCTGCTCGAGCTGATTGGGGTTACTTTCTTTGCAACGCCCTTTCTCTCGCTGCTCTTGCCCGCTCTCTTCACTATTTCCATGCCAATAATTTTTGGCTTGGTACTCGGGGCTGTTGCCGGCTTCGGTACCGGAGTTCG